TTAGCCGCTGTCGGCTGTCGGCTGTACGCGTCTACGTTCGCGCTCGACGCTCCTATGATAGTATGCACGCATGACGTACCTACACACGCACGCATCGTGCTTCTCGCACACGCTCTACCGTCTACATCACTTTCAAACGCACGTCACGCCCCTTTCACCGTATTTTTCCCATTCATGTATCTTTTCTACATTTCCTTATTATTCCCCTTTCTCTCTCTCTCTCTCTTCTTCTTTGTCCGTCTCCTCTCGTTTTTTATCTTCTTGTTGCTTTCATCCATACGTCATACTAATCAGATGAAAATTCACTTTGCGATTTACTAATCTTATCTTATCGTTTTTATCGTCTATTGCTATTTAATATGATTACGGTTTAGCATGAATTATATCGCGACGAATTCATGCTAAATTATATGTAGAAGGTGAATTGTTCGCACGCTTTCTGCTGGAATATTATTCTCGCGTCTCGTTATATTTTTTTTTATTGCTATTGTATATATATTTGTTATTGTAACGTTCCCTTACGCAAGAACGGAACTGAGACTGAAAGCGAAGCGACGGAACATCTTTGCGCGCCAAAAGATATTTCGGAGAGAATTCCGTTTCGCGAGTTAAATAATCCCGACGCTCTTGGATTCTGACGGTAGATTCTTTGAGAAATTCGGAATTGATTTTTCTATAATTACGATGTTGCGTTGATAATATTGATGTCGAATAAAAATATCGGAGCCCCGACTTATGCGCGACTAAAAAGGGATTTCCTCTAACTCGCGTTGCCTTTGATGTATTCTGATCCTTCTAGCTTTTCTTACCTTAATCTCTCGCTTTAATCTTCTAGATCTTGTTTTAATGAAACAAACATAAATTTTCAGGGCACCATTTTAATATTATTTATCGGTAATAAAATCTTTTTAAAAAGATAACGCTACTTCACTATTGGATATCAAAAGAACAATTACAATCCGATCTCTTAAGTTACAAATAACATTTTGTTGTTTTTAACTTTTATATGTGTCAAAATATAAATCCACTTCTATGATTAATTTCAATGTAAACAACGATCATATTAACATATGTACTTGATAAATAATAAATTAAACTTGTATCAAATTTGAGTTATTTAATACATTGTACAAATTTAATATTTGAATTAAACAATTTAACTTCTTTGTTTTAGTTAAATTAACGACATATCGAATCAATGATGACTTAGAGAAATTATTAAAAATAATTCAAATTAGGTATAACTTGAGTTATGAATTTAATAGTATTTATAACAAAGAAAATTATTTATTGCATTTTTCATTTATTTAATTACTTTTTGACATCTCTATATTCTGTTATCTATCACAATGGACAAGATTAAATAAAGATTAGAGTTTTAATAGATTTGTCCAAATGTATATCGAGCCTATCTCTCAGATATACCTAATTTGGGTTATTTTTAACAATTTCTTTAGATAGCCACTGCTCATATCCTATATATTGTTATTTTGACTAAAATAGTGAAGTTCAACAATTTAACTCAAGAAAATATATTAAATTTGATTTAAATATAATTCATTATTTACCAAATGCAATATTGACGTCAATATGGACGATGTTTATTTTGAAAATATTTATTTCGAAAGTACAGAAATGGATTGATTTATGTTTTGATACACGTGAAATTAAAAAGTAAATAAAATATTATTTTCTAAATGCATATGTAAATATCGATGATGTTTACTTTGAAGCTAACCGCGGAAATGGATTGATTTACATTTTTACACACGTGAAATTAAAAATAATAAAATGTCATTTAATTCAAGGGATTGAATTACCATTGTTCTTTTGATATCTAATCGATATAGTCGTTTCGATCAGCCGAAACTCTTAGGCTGGTATTCATAGTCGATTCTTATTTCAAGACCGTCTTAAGTAATGTCTTAAGACGCTAATGCAGCCCTCTGATTGGTTCGTGACTTCTTAAGACCGTACTTAAGACGGTCTTGCATATAAGATCTGACTACGAATACCAGCCTTAGTCGCGGCTTCTGATGTAATACATCTGGGCACATCGAGCGAATTTGATTTATCCTGTATCGCGCGCGAACCACATCCTATCACCGCGATACCGTCAAAGACACAAGTTTCTCTATGGATAAACTCACACTAAGTTAGGTCAAGCTTTCCAGACGATAGCAGAAAAGATAAATAAATACGCCGAATGAATAAAGCTGCTCCAGTCTTCAGTCTTTATAGTCATCGAAAGGGAATGCGTTCTGAAAAATATAAATAAAGATATTAGATTATTTGTGTGCTTACGCTCTGACGAGCAGACAGATAATGGCTGCGTTCAGCATAAAAAGCAGCTTTGCGACTGTGTAAAATTCTTGAATATTATTGGTTTATACATTTAAATCAAGCGAGGAATTAAGGGCAAGACCAATTATATTAAAGAATTTTACAACAGTTGCAAAGCTCTTTTTCTGCTGAACGCAGCCAAAGGCACTCGCTTTTGTCGTGAAGCAAGTTTGTGGAAATATATGAATAGAAAAAAATTTTATTTATATATGTAATTTAATTTAAATTTAACTTAATTTTCTACTTAGGAAAATGTATATTTTGAAATATAAAGATCGACGTGTTTGAAAACTTTGTTTCCGTGCCATCGAATGTATTCGTTTTAACTTCTCTTCAATAATATATATACAGATATAATTTATATATTATATACAACTATTTATAAATAATATATTATTTATATTATTTATAAATATATCAATTATATATATATATATAAATAATATATATAGCACTTAATTAGTTCAATATCAGACTTACATATGATACATGTAATATTATCAGATCAAGAGAAATAAATCGAGAATTTTTAATCAAATTCGATCTTATGTAAAAACGTAGTCATGTCCACTCATGATCTTTAGGTCTGTTTTTTTTTAGCTGAACTTTCTGCACGGTTCATTTTTTGTCTTTTTCTCCACGTTGAAGAGAAAGAGAGAGACGAACCGTGCAAGAACTTTAGCTAAAAAAAAAAACAA